TCCCTCTCTCTCTCTCTCTCTCTCTCTGTCTCATCTCTCCAATTACTCTCCCGCGCGCGCGCTCTCTCTCTCTCTCTCTCTCTCTCTCTCTCTCTCTACCCCTCTCTCTCTCTCTCTCTCTCTCTCTCTCTCTCTCACTCTCTGTAACCCTCTCTCTCTTTCTCTCTCTCTCTCTCTCTGTCACTCTCTCGCCTCTTTCTTTTTCTCTCTCTCTCTCTTGTTGTGTCTATATATTTATTTCTCACAATTATTCTCTCACAGTCACCATCACACATGGACACGTGCACACATGCGCCGTCACACATGCAGGTATACACTATGCCACCCATCGACTTACCTCTCTAGCGTGTGTTCTAATACTTTGTGCCTTGAGTTCCTATAGGATGATGGCGTCTGAAAAAGAATAGAGAGGATTCACGTGTCAAGAGACAGCACGCATTGGCAATTTCAATTCCAAGCAGAATGCGTTGCGCGGATATATGATGTGCCATGATGATAAGTTATGTGCAAATTATAATATAAAAATGACTGCATGATTTGTTGATGTATCGGCTAATATCATGCGAAATAACGTGTCGTTATGCACACACTTCTTCTCGCATAATCTGGCTAGCGCATAAAATTTGCATTTTCTGCTCATTATGATCATTGGTTATGCATGGGAGTGATCTTCAGCAGCTTATTAGCTTTAATGACCAGCCTGCGTCTGTGTTGATTGTAGCTCCAGAACTATAGCCCTTCGCTCTGCCACAGCGACGGTGGCAGAGCGAAGGGCTATAGTTCTAGAGCTATGTTCATTGCACAAACACACAAGCAGGGCATATATCCAGCACATTCGAACTAGACTAGCTGACAATCACAGGCAGCCTGATCCTAAAGTAAGGTTTACATTTATGCTTCACTAGACAATAATCAATTACGGTCTGGAAACGAACGAAAATCGTAAGATTCGCATGGCACGCTTCATTGCCTCGGTCACAGATGCAGCAGCTAAAAACATCCCCATGCACACACTCACTGACGTCTGCGATGCAGACACTTACTGATTCCATGGCAACGAGATTAGACGCATCGTGAAACAAATGGATGTTGATGAGATCGAATATCCTGCAAAGGTAGCAACAATGCAATGTAGTTAGGCATGCGAGCTGAGCTACTCACACCCCCCATCCTCATTCTGTGAACGCAAGCCCTCCTCAAGCTCGTAAACATGGCATTACGAGTCCACCCCTGCACAATCCCTAAGTAGTTATTTCGAATGGTACACTCTGAGCATTGAGTGGTTGCATAATTTTGCCCAGCGGTATGAATTATTATCCTCCAAGCATCCTGCGAAACACTAGTTTTACAATTATCCATAGACACTTGCGTGTAATTGCTAATTGGTTTTACGTGTTTTTTTATTCTTCGCTTGTGAAATATTAATCAGCTCTATTATGAATTACAATGCACTTTTCTGTTGCATATCAAAGATATGTTCTAATAGCTTTCAACCAAATGTGCAATCTGATAGGTTTGAAATGCCACATATCGTGCACTAGTACATCAGTATCCTACACACTGATAGTATTCCACGTTTATTTCAAAAAAATTTAACAATAATATATTAAAACAAAGTCTTAATCGAACTATATTATAAAGGTACGATAATATTACTAATTACGTTATATTTTATTAATAGTAATTACAAGATAAATAATGATAATAATAATAATAATAATAATAACTAGAAAGGGCAGTTGTTGCCAACTACATGTATCCCTCGTGTTCTCCCCAAGATGTGTAAGTATACGAAGCTTGGTCACGCTAGGTCAATTAGGGGCAGAGTTATAGAGCGGAAGGAAAATATGATGAAGGTCAAGGTCAAGGTCAATGTCAAATAAAGGTTGCAGTGACCTGGTTTCGGTACGCGACACACCTTCTCCCCAAGATGTGTAAGTATACCAAGTTTGGTAGCGCTAGGTCAATTAGAGACCGAGTTATAGAACGGAAGGGAAATATAATCAAGGTCAAGGTAAAGGTCAAATAAAGGTTGTAGTGACCTGGTTTTGGTACGCTGCGCACCTTCTCCCCAAGATGTGTAAGTATACCAAGTTTGGCCGCGCTAGTTCAATTAGGGGCCGAGTTATAGAACGGAAGGGAAATATGATCAAGGTCAAGGTAAAGGTCAAATAAAGGTTGCAGTGACCTGGTTTTGGTACGCTGCGCACCTTCTCCCCAAGATGTGTAAGT